CAATAGCAGCGCGCTGCGGGTCCTCGGCTACGGCGGCGGCCAGGGGACATTTGCCTCCGCTGCTCAGTCGCAGCGCCCCAGGGAAACCTACACGGGAGCAGTCGCGGACCTCAGTCCCGCCCCCGGTCCCACTCCCTGGTTCCGCCCCCAGTCCCACCTCAGGCCGAGTGGAGGCTGAGCCCCAGGCTGTCGCGCAGCACAACTCGGGGTGAACACACCACCCCTTTTCCGTTGGAGTCATTCATTCTCGTTTAGGTCAACAGCGGTGCGCACGCTGGGGTGGAGAAGACAGGCTCGGAAAGGCGTGCGCTGCTGTTAGGACCCGGCGTAGCGTCCGTCCGGTTTTGCAGGGTGGGTTTTTTATGTGATAGTAAAGGAAAAACAATATCATTGGGTATCTCCTGTGTGCTAGGGGCGGTGACATACTCCGGGTAATTCTCACGATTATCCCTTCACTGGTTATTAAGACGCTTGGTGCTGATTAAGCAACAGAAGGTGGAAAACTTGTCCAAGGTCACGCAGTTTTGAAGTGACAGACCCTGCATTTAGGCCGACAAGGCCACAGTACTGCTTTTGATATTAAGCAGTCATTTAAAAACATTTGTAAAAGAGGTCGACGAAGACGGCAATGCCCTAGATTAACGTGAACGGGCGTGAGCACGTTCCCGCCTGGATGGTTGTGGACATTTGTACGATCAGAGGAAGGAACACTGCTCTGCAGTTTGTTTTGTCTGTTTTTAAAGCAGTGTTACTTGGACTCGTTCTGCCTAAGCCTAGAAGCTATGCTGCTCTTTTGCGCAGACAGAAGCAGTAGATCTGTGACCTGAGACGTGAGCCGGGGAATGGCTCTGATTCTGACCCTTATGCTGAATTTCCGTCTCAGCTCTTCAGGAAGAGATAACTGAGCTAAGTGTTTTTATTAAGCACACAATTCTATAGTGCACCGTGCCACAGGATAGTGATTCAAAGGTCGCCAGCATCCTCAATGTTCCTTTGCCACAAACCTCCACTTCAGACCCCAGGCCTGAGACTGACTTCTTTACCTGTACAGGTGGGGACAATAGTACCCACTTCGGAGGGGTTGTGATGACTCATTATTCCTTCAGCAAATATCCTGAAGCGCCTATTCAGCGTTGCTCTGGACACTGAAGATAAAGCTGTGAACAAAGTCCTTGCTGTCAGAGTCTAAGTTCAAGTGTGGGAAGCAGCAAGACACAGATACAGAGATACCGACGACGAGTACATCAGTGAGACGTCCTAAGGAGAGAATAAGCAAAGGAGGGTGACTAGTGAAAGTGAGAGGGCCTGGAGGTTTTGAGTTAGCATTGAGAGGGCACAGACCAGAAGAGGGGGGGCAGTAAGCTGTGTGGGTATCTGCCATGTGGGTATGATGTCTCACCTGCATGCCACCCACGCCCTGGGGTCTCCACACCGGCAAGGACACAGTGATGCTACAGCAGGGTGAGCAAGAAGGCTAGTGGCTGAGACCAGAGCAAGGGCTAGAGGCCATGTCAGGTAAGACCTGTTGGCCCATTTCATAAGCTTTTGTTTTATTTTCAGTGAGACGGAGAAATATTGAAGTGTTTCGGGCCAACAAGTGACAGGACTGGATCTAGGTTTTTAGAAAAGACCTTTGTGGCCACTGAGTTAGGCAGACAGAAGTGAGGCAGGAGATCATTTGGGCTATTAAAATAATTCAAATGAGGGGCGATGGCAGTTTGGCCTGTGCTGTGGTTGGTGGAGGTGTTGAGAAGTGGTTTGTCCTGGATAGATTTTGAAAGGAGAGCTGAGCAGGTTTGGTAATACACCTGCTGCGTTATGAGGGCGGAGGAATCAAAGATGACCCCAAGGTTTCTGCCTGAGGAACTGCAAGGACGGAGCTGCCGTTCCCGTGGTGCAGAAGGTTATGGCTGGAGCTGGGGTGAGAGCTGGCGGTTCAGCTGGAAGGTAGTTTTAGCTGCCTGGAGTCTACAGAGTGGACGAGTAGACCACTGGATAGAGGAACCTGGGGTTCAAGGAAGAGGTGCGGACTAGAGATATAAACGTAGGTGTCCCCAGTGTGGGGTAGCAAATAGAGCCTGTATAAGGACAAGCACCCCTACTCTCTTCTCTCCAGCCCTCCTTTCTTAGCTTTTTGCTCTATTGATTGAAGACGATTTAGGGACTGATAGAGTAAAAGATGTTTTGCACTTTAGTTTCTGGATTCCTAATCTCCAGTATGTGCTACTACATTACTTGAAAGAATTCATCATTTAAGTTCCAAGAGTGACAAATAGGAATGCTGGTTGCGATATTTAGTAATATGGTCAATAAAATTCTTTTGCACTTTCTTAGTATCATCAACGCTAATACAAGGACCTGTTGAATTTCTAAAGATGGGAGCAGAGGGTTCCCCTCCCCCCCCCCCCCCCAATTAGGGCCGCTGCGGTAGGCACCAGGCGGGCCCACCTCGCCCCGCCCGGACACTGATGCGCGCTGCGGCTTCGTCCTCCCTTCTCCAAGATGGCTGAGCCCCGCGCGGTGGATGCTGGGCGTGCACGAATGCCGGGAGGGGGCGTGGCCGGAGCTGGATTCGGGGCGGAGCCGGCGAGAGTCGGGCGCTGATTGG